CAGTGGGGTGAGGGAGGGGACAACTGTAATGCCTTCAACAATGAAGAGTTTTAAAAAGAGTAAAAACAGAGTGCTTGCTGTAAACCAGAGCCATCTCGTCGCGCCTCCTCAGCTCCCTGAGCAGCCCTGCGAGCAGAGGAGGAAACTGGCTCCACAGAAGGAAGCCAAACAGGCGGCCAAGTCACAGGAGTGGCCAGCCTGGAGCCAGACCAGCCCTCAGCCCTCCCAACGCGGCCGAGGCAGCCTGGCGCCTCCGGGCCTGTAGAGGCCGAGGACACTGCATGGCAGCTGCCCTGCGTCTCAGACACGATTCGAGGGAACCGGCCTTGTTCCTTACAGACATGGTCATGTGACAGGTACTAGCTTCTTCCTGACCTTTTGTACATCCTTTCACCTTTTCCATAGAAGTTTTTTAAAATAAGGTAAAATAACATAAATGGAATAACGGGAATAAATATAATAATGAAAAATAAATGTTTTCTAATACAACTTTCCACAACAACTTATTACTGCTTCCAAATTATGACAAATTTCAAACATTGCTGGGAATTAGTCAGGCATTTATCATTCAGTGTGCCCAGCGTGGGGCACAGGTAAGGGGGCACAGGTAAGGGGGCAGTGTTGGTGCCTAGCATGGGGCACAGGTAAGGGGGCACAGGTAAGGGGGCAGTGTGGCATAGGCTGTTGCTTGCATTTGGAGTCATTCATACCTAAGTTCAAATCCTGCCTCTGCCCTGATTAAGTTACACTGAAGAGCCATCGCGTCTCTGAGCTGCCTCATGCCTGCAAGTGGGAGAGCACAAGGTGAAGGACCCAGGGACTCAGTACCCCAACCCACCGCTCCCGCAGCCCCAGGCGATCACATCCCCTGCAGCAGCCTGGATCCCTCCTCCTGTTTGAAACGGTTCCTTCCTTCACGTGGCTTCCAGGACCCCACCTGCATCAGCAATATCAGTGTTCCGACTGAGCGAAAAGGATCTAAGAACTTGAACTAAAAGCAGATGGTCAAAAAGGACAACATAGCTAGACCCAAGTATGAAAGGCCATCAAGAATCATACTTTAGCCTGGCTGGCGTGGCTCAGTGATTGAGCGTCGACCTATGAACCAGGAGGTCATGGTTTGATTCCTGGTCAGGACACATGGCCCGGGAGTGGGCTTGATCCCCAGTGCAGGGTGGGCAGGAGGAAGCCAATCAATGTTTCTCATCATTGATGTTTCTATCTTTCTCTCCCTCTCCCTTTCTCTCTGAAATCAATAAAAATATATTTTTAAAAAAGAAACGTACTTTAAACATAAAGAAACAAATCAGTTAAAAGTGTTAATCGAATCTGTAAGGGCTGCAGTAATATCAGATAAAGTGCGTTTCAGAGAAAAAAGTTGCTTCATAATGATAACAGGTTGATTAATCAACTGGACATAAAATCCTAAACAGTTATGCCTCTTAGAACAAAGCCTAAAAATATGTTAAACAGCAACTGGTAAAACTGCAAGGAGAGCGAGGCAGTCACACTAAAGTGGGATATTTGATACCTCTCCCTCAATAACTGAGGACGAGTAGACGGAAACCACCAAGGATGTGGAAGACACACACAACACCATCAGCTACATTGCCTGGCTGCATTCACAGGGCAACCACAGACTTTCAAATGCACGGGAACACTGGTCACGAACGACCACACGCTGGACTGCAAATAAGCCTCAGAGATTTAACAGGCGTCAAAGAGCAGAAACTGTTCTCTAACTACAACGGAGCTAATTAAACAGCAGCGAGAGAAAAGCCCCAAATGTCTGAAAACTAAGTAACACACCTCGGAGCAGCCACGGGTCAAAGAAGAAATCAAAGGTAATACAGAAAGTGCTTTGAACTGAATAGCAATGAATACACACATATCAAAATTTGGGGGACGCCATTAAATCACTTAAGTGAAATGTGTAGCGTAAATCCATGATCTCAGCTCCCCCCAAGGAAGATGCAGATACAGAAGGCAACTAAGCACAGGCAGATGCTTGGCATCAGTCGGGAAATGAAGTCGCAAGCACCGCAGCGCCAGACACACCACTCCGGTGGCCGGTCTGAGCCCATCACCCCGGGACGGGAGAAGGCGCGAAGCCACGGGACTTCTCAGAGAACTTGAAAGTGTCTTAAAAAGTCAAACATGTATCTACCATCTGACCCGGCAATTCCACGCGTAAATATGCACCCCGAAATGAAAGCAGGTATTCACACAAAGACTTTCACAGGAATGTTCACAGCAGCCTTTTTTGTAATCATCAAAAATCTAGACCAGCCTTAGTCGGTTTGGCTCAGTGGATAGAGTGTCAGCCTGTGGACTGAAGGGTCCCATGTTCGATTCTGGTCAGGGCACATGCCCAAGTTGCAGGTTCGATTCCCAGTGTGGGGAGTGCAGGAGGCAGCTGATCAATGATACTCTCTCATCATTACTGTTTCTATCTCTCTCTGCCTCTCCCTTTCTCTCTGAAGTCAATAAAAATGGAGGAATCCTTCAGGAGGTGGGCATATGATGATGGAGGAGGAAGAGGAGGAGGAAGAGGAGGAGGAAGAGGAGGAGGAGGAGGAGGAATCCTTCAGGGGGTGGGCATGTGGTGATGGAGGAGGACGAGAAGGAAGAGGAAGAGGAGGAGGAGGAGGAGGAATCCTTCAGGGGGTGGGCATGTGGTGATGGAGGAGGAGGAGGAGGAATCCTTCAGGGGGTGGGCATGTGGTGATGGAGGAGGAGGAGGAGGAGAAGGAGGAGGAATCCTTCAGGGGGTGGGCATGTGGTGATGGAGGAGGAGGAGGAGGAATCCTTCAGGGGGTGGGCATGTGGTGATGGAGGAGGAGGAGGAGGAGTCCTTCAGGGGGTGGGCATGTGGTGATGGAGGAGGAGGAGGAGGAGAAGGAGGAGGAATCCTTCAGGGGGTGGGCATGTGGTGATGGAGGAGGAGGAGGAGGAATCCTTCAGGGGGTGGGCATGTGGTGATGGAGGAGGAGGAGGAGGAGTCCTTCAGGGGGTGGGCATGTGGTGATGGAGGAGGAGGAGGAGGAGGAGGAGGAATCCTTCAGGGGGTGGGCATGTGGTGATGGAGGAGGAGGAGGAGGAGGAGGCAGAGGAGGAGGAGGAGGAATCCTTCAGGGGGTGGGCATCTGATGATGGAGGAAGAGGAAGAGGAGGAGGAGGAGGAGGAAGAGGAATCCTTCAGGGGTTGGGCATGTGGTGATGGAGGAGGAGGAGGAGGAATCCTTCAGGGGGTGGGCAGCTGATGATGGAGGAAGAGGAAGTGGAGGAGGAGGAGGAGGAGGAGGAAGAGGAGAAGGAGGAGGAATCCTTCAGGGGGTGGGCAGCTGATGATGGAGGAAGAGGAAGTGGAGGAGGAGGAGGAGGAGGAGGAAGAGGAGAAGGAGGAGGAATCCTTCAGGGGGTGGGCAGCTGATGATGGAGGAAGAGGAAGTGGAGGAGGAGGAGGAGGAGGAGGAAGAGGAGAAGGAGGAGGAATCCTTCAGGGGGTGGGCATGTGGTGATGGAGGAGGAGGAGGAGGAAGAGGGGGAGGAGGAGGAGGAGGAAGAGAAAGAGGAGGAGGAGGAGAAGGAGGAGGAATCCTTTAGGGGGTGGGCATGTGGTGATGGAGGAGGAGGAGGAGGCGGAGGAGGAGGAGGGGGAATCCTTCAGGGGTGGGCATGTGGTGATGGAGGAGGAGGAGGAGGAGGAGGAGGAATCCTTCAGGGGGTGGGCAGCTGCTGATGGAGGAAGAGGAAGTGGAGGAGGAGGAGGAGGAGGAGGAATCCTTCAGGGGGTGGGCATGTGGTGATGGAGGAGGAGGAGGAGGAGAAGGAGGAGGAATCCTTCAGGGGGTGGGCATGTGGTGATGGAGGAGGAGGAGGAGGAGAAGGAGGAGGAATCCTTCAGGGGGTGGGCATGTGGTGATGGAGGAGGAGGAGGAGGAGAAGGAGGAGGAATCCTTCAGGGGGTGGGCATGTGGTGATGGAGGAGGAGGAGGAGGAGAAGGAGGAGGAATCCTTCAGGGGGTGGGCATGTGGTGATGGAGGAGGAGGAGGAGGAGAAGGAGGAGGAATCCTTCAGGGGGTGGGCATGTGGTGATGGAGGAGGAGGAGGAGGAGAAGGAGGAGGAATCCTTCAGGGGGTGGGCATGTGGTGATGGAGGAGGAGGAGGAGGAATCCTTCAGGGGGTGGGCATGTGGTGATGGAGGAGGAGGAGGAGGAGGAGGAAGAGAAGGGGGAGGAGGAGGGGGAGGGAGTGGGGGATCCTTCAGGAGAGCTGGCATGTGGTTACACCCTCTCCTCTGCAGCATCTGCCCGGGAGGAGGCCAGGGCGTGATTACTGAAGTGGCTGCCAAGCCACAGAGGAACCTGGTGTCGCCATGCCTTCCAGGGCCAAACCAGTGGGACAGCCAGTCAGTGGGGAGACTTCCCATTCACCGCCTTTAAATGTTAAAATCATCCGGCCCCACTAGCTGGTTGAGAATGTGCACACTCCCACACCTGTACTCACATGTGCACACTCACTCACACTCACAAACATACTTATGCATACACATGTATCCATACACACTCGCACACACATTCTACATACATGTACTAGTATGCTCACACAGTCAGGTGACACCCACACCTGCAACCTCCTGCAGGAAACGCAGCCTCTGTCCCTTCTCATTCTTTTGTCCCCCTCCCCTGCCCCCCATTCTCTAGCCTACCCTAGTAGTCTCTCCAGCCTCCCTCACCCTCACGGAACACCTGATACAACTTCTCTGTGACACTCGGCTTCTCTGTGGCCTCAAGTGCAGACGCGTTCCCTGGTTCCCACCTGCTCCAGACCATCCTGGCAGGTCCTGGCAGGTCTCCGACCTCCTGTGTGGGCGCAGTGGAGCCTGGAATCCACTGCAGCACCCCAAGTCAGAACTGGACATGAAAAGCTCAGCCCCACTTTCCCCAAGGGCGGGAGGCTCAGTGAAGGCACGCCCTCCCCTTTCTGGGCTCCTACCTCATTGACGAAGACCCAGTGGCTGTCCTTGGAAGCCAGGTTGGTCTCCACGGCCTGCAGAGAGAAAGGAAAGCCACATGAACAGAAGCAGCCGGAAGCTGCAGGCATCAGGATGACCGTTAAGACAGGGGTGGTAAACATGGTTCTCACGGAGTTTTCCCCACATGCTGTCCCCTGGGGTCAGCTCTGGCGGCCTTGGCTCCGCGGCATCTGAATGCAGATGTCTGAGTTCCAGCTGCCCCAGAGCCCGCGTGCCAGCCATCCTGCAGGCATCTCAGAGCCCAGGCCGGCACCCCTCCCCCGGAGAGTGCCCACCAACACTTCTCTGCAGGGGCACGGGGGGAGGAGTGTCCCCTCGGTCCAGGCCAGGTGAGAGGGTGGGAAGTCTGGAGGGGGTTTGTGGCAGTGGGTCCAGCTGTGCTGAGTGACACCTGGGAAGATGGTGCTCACCACTGGGGCGCCCAGCCGCCTTCAGTGCTCAGGACCCATAGAACTGGCTCTTTCTCTCCTGGGCAGTGCCCCACCCCTCCCGTTCTCTCTCTACCCCATAGCGCTCGCCATTTCTGTGCTCGAAGAGTTACCGGTATTTATTTTTGGTGTCTATCTCCTCCACCAGGTGGGGGTCTCCATGAGGTCAGGGGCCATGTCTATTCTGGTCACAGTATGTTCTAGAAACTTACAACATAACCAGCACATAGTAGGTGTTCAATAAATGTTGAAGGCGTGAATGAACTGTTGGTGGGCAGAGCAGAGAGGAGCCTGTCACGTACATTGTCTCTCAGATATCTCTGAGTTCCTTTTGGGAAAAAGCAGGGAGAACGGACAGTTTGCAAGCCTGTGCTATTAAGTCCTTCCACCTGCATGGCCACATACTCGCTTAGTGCCCAGCCCTGGCAGAGTGCTATCAAATCCTAGTCCTCTCTTATTTTCATTTTTTTGTATTTTTGCAATGTAATGTTTACCCTTTTAGTTGAAAAATACAGAAAAGTATTTTTAAAAATGTGCCAAAGTAGTAAAACGCCCCATTGTCCCTCCAATTTCCCCCCCTCGAGGTCATTTTAAGTGTTTCCATCCAGAAGTGTCTGGTCACACCTGCAAGCACACACATCAGACAGCTGTCTTTACTAACACAGTGTCATTGAACACACACCAGGCGACATCTGTCACTCCTGACTTATCGGTGTATCAGGAATGGCCTTCCTGGTCAGGACCGAGATCTGAGTCCTCTCAGCAGATGAGCACACAGGTGACCCCGCGCGTGAGGCCCCGGCCTCAGCACTGTCACTGCATCAGCAAGGACGCATTTTTTGGCTGACAGCAGCACGTGGAGACCGCGCCTGGGGGCCTAGCCCGCCCTCGCCACCACGTCCCCACAGATGGAATCACGGCACAAAACAGCAGGGTCGGCACAGGCTCTCCAGGGCCATCGGGTGGAGACACAGACCCTTCTCCAGACACGGACAGAGCGCCAGCCCACGGACAGCCCAGCCCACGGACAGAGCGCCAGCCCATGGACAGCCCAGCCCACGGACAGAGTGCCAGCCCACAGACACAGAACCAGCCCACGGACAGAGCACCAGCCCACGGACAGCCGAGCCCACGGAAAGAGTGCAAGGCAACAGACACAGAACCAGCCCACAGACAGAGCCCAAGCCCATGGACAGAGCGCCAGGCCACGACAGAGCTCCAGCCCACAAACAGCCCAGTCCACGGACAGAGTGCCAACCCACGGAGAGAGCACCAGCCTACAGACAGAGTGCCAGCCCACCGACAGAGCTCCAACCCACAGACATCTCCAGCCCACGGACAGAGCGCCAACCCATAGACAGAGCGCCAACCCACGGACAGAGCCTCCAGCCCACGGACAGAGCGCCAACCCATGGACAGAGCTCCAGCCCATGGACAGAGCGCCAGCCCACAGACAGAGCTCCAACCCACAGACAGCTCCAGCCCACGGACAGAGCACCAACCCACGGACAGAGCTCCAACCCACAGACATCTCCAGCCCACGGACAGAGCGCCAACCCATGGACAGAGCTCCAGCCCATGGACAGAGCGCCAGCCCACAGACAGAGCTCCAACCCACAGACAGCTCCAGCCCACGGACAGAGCACCAACCCACGGACAGAGCTCCAACCCACAGACATCTCCAGCCCACGGACAGAGCGCCAACCCATGGACAGAGCTCCAGCCCATGGACAGAGCGCCAGCCCACAGACAGAGCTCCAACCCACAGACAGCTCCAGCCCACGGACAGAGCACCAACCCACGGACAGAGCTCCAACCCACAGACATCTCCAGCCCACGGACAGAGCGCCAACCCATGGACAGAGCTCCAGCCCATGGACAGAGCGCCAGCCCACAGACAGAGCTCCAACCCACAGACAGCTCCAGCCCACGGACAGAGCACCAACCCACGGACAGAGCTCCAACCCACAGACATCTCCAGCCCACGGACAGAGCGCCAACCCATGGACAGAGCTCCAGCCCATGGACAGAGCGCCAGCCCACAGACAGAGCTCCAACCCACAGACAGCTCCAGCCCACGGACAGAGCACCAACCCACGGACAGAGCTCCAACCCACAGACATCTCCAGCCCACGGACAGAGCGCCAACCCATGGACAGAGCTCCAGCCCATGGACAGAGCGCCAGCCCACAGACAGAGCTCCAACCCACAGACAGCTCCAGCCCACGGACAGAGCACCAACCCACGGACAGAGCTCCAACCCACAGACATCTCCAGCCCACGGACAGAGCGCCAACCCATGGACAGAGCTCCAGCCCATGGACAGAGCGCCAGCCCACAGACAGAGCTCCAACCCACAGACAGCTCCAGCCCACGGACAGAGCACCAACCCACGGACAGAGCTCCAACCCACAGACATCTCCAGCCCACGGACAGAGCGCCAACCCATGGACAGAGCTCCAGCCCATGGACAGAGCGCCAGCCCACAGACAGAGCTCCAACCCACAGACAGCTCCAGCCCACGGACAGAGCACCAACCCACGGACAGAGCTCCAACCCACAGACATCTCCAGCCCACGGACAGAGCGCCAACCCATGGACAGAGCTCCAGCCCATGGACAGAGCGCCAGCCCACAGACAGAGCTCCAACCCACAGACAGCTCCAGCCCACGGACAGAGCACCAACCCACGGACAGAGCTCCAACCCACAGACATCTCCAGCCCACGGACAGAGCGCCAACCCATGGACAGAGCTCCAGCCCATGGACAGAGCGCCAGCCCACAGACAGAGCTCCAACCCACAGACAGCTCCAGCCCACGGACAGAGCACCAACCCACGGACAGAGCTCCAACCCACAGACATCTCCAGCCCACGGACAGAGCGCCAACCCATGGACAGAGCTCCAGCCCATGGACAGAGCGCCAGCCCACAGACAGAGCTCCAACCCACAGACAGCTCCAGCCCACGGACAGAGCACCAGCCCACGGACAGAGCGCCAACCCACGGACAGAGCACCAGCCCACGGACAGAGTGCCAACCTACGGACAGAGCTCCAGCCCATGGACAGAGCGCCAGCCCACAGACAGAGCTCCAACCCACAGACATCTCCAGCCCACGGACAGAGCACCAACCCACGGACAGAGCTCCATCCCACGGACAGAGCGCCAACCCACAGACAGAGCACCAGCCCACGGACAGAGCACCAGCCCACGGACAGAGCATCAGCCCACGGACAGAGCGCCATCCCACAGACAGAGCTCCAGCCCACGGACAGAGCTCCAGCCCACGGACAGAGCTCCAACCTACAGATATCTCCAGCCCACGGACAGAGCACCAGCCCACGGGCAGAGTGCCAACCCATGGACAGAGCTCCAGCCCACAGACAGAGTGCCAACCCACGGACAGAGCTCTAGCCCAGAGACAGAGCGCCAACCCATGGACAGAGCTCCAGCCCACGGACAGAGCGCCAACCCACGGACAGAGCACCAGCCCAGGGACAGAGAGCCAACCCAGGGACAGAGCTCCAGCCCACGGACAGAGCGCCAGCCCACAGACAGAGCACCAGCCCACAGACAGAGCGCCAGCCCACAGACAGAGCACCAGCCCACGGACAGAGCTCCAGCTCACGGACAATGCCACTGTCAGCACATGTACCAGCCTCTGAGCCTGGACACTGTCAGCACATGTACCAGCCTCTGGCCCGGCCTGTTCCCTGGTGATGGGAAGAAAAGATCTTTGCTTTCAAGGCTGAGAAAACACCATCACTAGCAGCTTTGCCCGCCACCCCAGGTTAACCTCTTCTCATCGCCTGGGACCACTACTGCACTTGCATTTCTTAAGTGGGAGCCTGTGTCGCTTCCTCTTGGCCTAAAGGAATAGTCAATGGAGGGGAAACCCTGCACCTGGAGGCCTTCCAGCCACATTGCTGAGCATTTATTTTACCACGTGCAAAGGCCGATTATTTGATTATTTCTGTGTCCATTGTTGGCAGCTTATCGAGGCACCTTATCTAGGAGCATACGATAATGAAAGCTTGTGGGCAATTAGCATCTTTTTAAGCCCAACCCTAACCCTTCAGAACTTTTCCCTGGGAGCCCAGGGCCTGTACTTTCCCAGTGACAGACATGGAGTAAGTCTAAGACCTGCTTCCCCTTTGCACAACATGCCTTTTAAGAAGGCCTGCTTCTGTGCAGCATCTGCCTCCGTGCAGCCTCAGCCTCCATGCCGCGTGTGAAGGGAGTGCAACCCTCATCCGCACTCCTGTTTGCAAGGCAGGGGAGTGGCTGTGGTGGATTTGAGAAGCAAAAGCAACCATCACGGGGCCTGAGTGTCAGAAGTTATGCCAGAACCACGAGGAAGCTGTGGTTATCACGGAACCATCTCAGGTACTCGGAGCTCCCAGGGCCTGCCTGCTTGGGAAAAGAACCCGCGATTCTAGTCCAGCTACTGCTGTTCACTCGGCCTTCCCTCCAGAACCTCTTGGGGTGTTGCTCTCACAGGAAAACTGCCCAATGTTCCCCCGATTCTGTGGCTCCTGCTTCGGGGACATCGTACTCCTGGACCCCATGGGGCTCCCTGGATTCTC